GTCGGAGACCAGCACCCTGATGGTGTGCTCGGTTTTCAGCCTGGGGGACCCCAAGTCGGTGACGGTGATGGTGACGTTGTACTCGGCTCTAATCTCTCTGTCAAGTGCTTTGTCATTAACTAGAGTGAAGAAATTCTTGAAGGTGGGTTTAAGAATAAATGGGAGGTCATCCTGAATAGAACAGGTCACCTTCCCATTGTCCCCAGAATCTTTGTCTCGAACACTAAAAACAGCGATAAGTATCTCAGGTGTATTCTCTGGAATTCTGTTTGTAATTGAAGAAATAGTCACTTCTGGTGGGTTATCATTGATATCCACGACTTTAATCAGAAGAAGGCATTTTTCTGAAAGACCCCCACCATCCGTTGCCTGGATATTTATAGTATAGGATTGTGTCACTTCAAAATCCAGGAAAGCTCTTAAGTGAACATCTCCTGATGTTGGGTTGATTTCAAATGTTTTACGAATGTCTTCGGATGCATGGAAAAATGTGTAAGCTATTTCCCCATAATTTCCTGAATCCAAATCCTTAGCAGAGACCGTGATAATGCAAGAGCCAAGGGACATGTCCTCCAAGACCTGCACCTCGTAGAGCCCCTGTGGAAACTCAGGGGCGTTGTCATTGATGTCCAAGACTTTGATGATCACCGTGGTGGTTCCCGACCTGGGTGGGGACCCACCGTCCACCGCTGTAAGTGTTAATCTAAGTTCGGGCTCCTGTTCGTGATCCAATGGTCTGTTCAGGACCAGCTCTGGGGATTTCTGTCCTTCACTGCTGTCTCGGATTTTAATGTAGAAATATGAATTCGAACTAATTGTGTAGTTTTGAAGACCATTGCTTCCTATGTCTGAGTCTTGAGCACTCTCCATCAGGAACGTGCTCCCGATCGCGGTGCTTTCTGATACTTTCAGAAGTATTTCCTTGTCCAGGAATGTAGGAGCGTGATCATTTATATCTTGGATGTGCAGCTCAGCCCGAAAAAACTGTAAAGGATTTTTCAGTAATACTTGAAAATGCAGCACACAGGGCTGGGTGGAGCTGCATAGCTCCTCTCGGTCCAGTTTCTCATTTAAGATCAAATCTCCGGTCAGCACATCAAGGTGCAAATACTTTGGGTTATCATCAGACACCACCCGTGCCTCCCGGGAGGAGAGCTCCTCCACCCTCAACCCTAAGTCCCTTGCCAGGTTGACTACAAAGGAGCCAATTTCATTTTCCTCCGCAACAAAATAGCGCCCAGATTCCAGTGCCGCCTGAGACAATCCCAGCCAAACAAAGAGAATTAAGACTTGCCTTGTCTGCAGAGCTAGCGCCTCTCTGGTCTCTGCGGCTCCTTCAGGCAACATCTTGTGTGGAAATTAGAAAGCTCAACCCTAATTTTTGAAGCTGAAATTCTGGGTTTTTTGTTTGTTTTTCCTATATGAAATACCTGGAAGGTATACAACCGTCCAGAAGCTCCATTAATAACCTCTCTCTTCAGCTGCCAGGCGATCTCTGTTCCCCTGAATAACAGAGCCCACAGAGTCAGCGGACAGATTATTTTCATCTTATCCTGCAGCGCCACCATGCGTCTCTCTTGTTTCCTTAAAATTTCTTGTCTCTGGACAAGTAACTTATGAATACATCTGGGAGAAGGAGACTTCAAAAGGTCGTGGAAAAGTGGAATAAAAAAGATAATAGAAACTTTCTGTAAACTTTTAGAATCTCCCTCATATATTTTTTAATCTCCCTCATATCTTAAAGTAGATTTCAGACATATATATTGTATCTCTAAATATTCCAGTAAGTATATCTAATAGAAAAGAACTTTTAAAGACTATACTATTCATCTCACAGTAAAAAACTTAGCAAAAATGCCTTGTCTTTTAAAAT